TGAAAAATTTCATTTTTTTCTGAAAAGATGGTGTCTATTTACTTGTGACCACGCTGTGTGTAAGATCAAACTACTTGTGTGATTCTGATCCATCATGCAGACCATCTTTATTACGTCACGTGCCGCAAGAAAATGTAACATATATTACAGAGGAAAAACTGTAACCGAGCTCAAACATTGATTTTACAAAAAAAAAAAAATGCTACTGTTACAGACACAAGTAAAAACGTGACCTGTCTCAACCTTATTCACACTAAACATATTGTTTACAAATGTAAAGCTTCTCTCAAAAGTGGCCAGGCTCGAATGGTAATCTATCTCATATTATGATAGGTTGAGGAAATTCTTCATTTAATTTTCTTAACCGTGACATAGTTACATCCTTGAAAATTAAAATGTAGCATATATATGACCCCCCCCCCACACACACACAGTTGGTTCCACTTTATTATCTCTGTCTCAGTTTTATTGAAACTTTTAGATTATTTTCTATCTTTACTGATCTTTTTTTTTTCATATATTATACAATAAAATTAATCAATCCCTTTCAAAACAGAATACGGTTTAATTCCTGAAGTTTGACAAGAACAATCCTGTAGCCTCTCAGAGGTTCTCAAAATATTCAATAATCTTTTCAATTATAAGGGACACAGCGATATGTCTATGGACTTATACTGGTAGAAACCGGATTTCGATATCCGTGATGAGCAGAGCACAGATAGCCCTTTGTGTAGCTTTGTGCTTAATAACAAACAACAACAATTATGTAAAATATTTATATTTTCAAACACTTGTATGCCTACTTTGAAATATTAAAAATATTCAAAACTTTCGTGATTGAAGCTTCCGTTATTAATAAATCACGTTCGAACCATCTCGATATTCTTATACACGTCATATCGTTTCCATGGTTATATAATGTCAACTTCTTTCAGAACTCTAAACTACCAGACATTTCCAGTCTGTTCTAATCGGTCAATAAAACCAGTAACCTTAACAGAGGCGCATGGAATAC